GCTTGTGGTCACAGGGTAGCCGTACTGCTGCAGCGTGCATCGTCCAYGGGGCACCGTGACGTTTTTGGGGACATTTCCCTGGTTTGTGCCGCGTCCCTCGGCCACCCGTGCTYCGCTCCGGAGAAGTCGGTCACGGCCGGGCTCCTTGACAGGACCCCGTGTTTCCTTCCCCTCTGCCCGAGGTGCGAAGTTCAGCGCCGCTTTATTTCTGCCCGTTSTTCAGGCACCCGCATGCTCCTGGCGGCAGCGAGTGAGGAGCCCTGCAGTGCAAAGCTGGGAGCAGGGGAGGCGGGGAGGCAAGGAGAGGGAGGGGGGAGAAAACCCTCCTGAGCATATGGAGACATCCAGAAAAAGATGTGCATCGTCAGCTGTGATTCCATTGTGTGCGCGCGGGCGGGTGGGAGGGAGCCGGGCCCCTCCGCCCGGGAATCTCGGCTGTGCACAAGTGTGTTCTGTGGCTGTCGCGTGTCGGGGCGATCCAGCCCGGAAAACCAACGTTTCATGGATCCAGTACAGATTATTTTGATAATATTTTAACATTGCGGGGAATAAATACAGTTGCCAGGACTCCTGCTCTGTGCTGGAGCGACATATTGCATAGACATACATACTGGTGAAATGGCAACTTGGATGAATAATAATTGCTAATTTTACATTTTATTAAAGCCACTTACCAGTTCCCTGGCTAGTAGTTTGTCAGCAGTATTTACATTATGCAAACCCTCCCTGTTTTTAATGATCCGGTGCCGTAGCCATTTCGCAACATAACAACTAGATATGTGGCGTGGTAAAGGACAGTTTGAGTAGTTCAATTAATTCTGAGTACAGAATTAAAAAATAAATAATAATACAAAAGCTTGGTCTTCTAAAAGATATTTTGTCAATGTTTCCAGTATTCAGAAATAGTATTTGTACAATGAAAAAAAAATGCAGTAAAAGAAATTAATTTTCTTCTACTCAGTCCTGTATTTATTATCTAGAACAGTGTTTCCTCTCAAGAGTAATTGCCTTTGAATTATTTCTGCTGGTTTTATAAAATTATTTTGATTTGATGAATAGTTTGAAAAATACATACTGAACACAGTGGCTTTACTGCCTTCAGTTTGGTTGCTGTTTATGATTTTCCAATATTGTTCTATAGCAGTTGCATGCTATTCAATCAATATGAGCAGTGTTTTATGGAAATAATATAGGCACAATTCCTATGGAAAATGGATAATCAGTGAGGTGCAGTTTCTTCGTTAATTTAAATGTCTAAGGCTACAGAACATGCTAACAACACCTGGGCATTTTTTGCCCTTGTGCAGCAGCATCGTTGCACTGCCCTAGGTCTTGCGTTTCCTTAGATGGCTTCCATGCCYGTCTGCCATTTATACACCTACTGGCAGGTACTTTTCTTGCTTTGCTCTCATTTTAGCAGTTAGAGCTGATAGTAAATCAGCTCACTGTTTCTGTGAGTGTGCTCCAATTACTTCTGTTTTCAGAAGCCCCTTTGCATTTTCTTTCTGCAGGTAAAGTGCTGTCTATAGAGCCTGGTTATCTATATGTATATATACACACATATATATGTATACACACACACACACACTTTTTTTCTATGCATTTTTGAATTTCACAAGTCACTTCTTGTTTGGAAAGGATAATTTCTATTTTGATAATATAGTCCGCATCACCACCAGAAGCCATTATTATGTTACCAAAAGCGTAGGGAGTGCAAGTGACAAATTAAATAAAGATGTCTACTGGATGTGTTGATTTATCCATAAATTTTAGGTAGTACGGATCACGTGAGCCTCTGTGAGGAGATCCCAGGACATAGTGAGGCCATATATCTAATGCAGTGATGACTGGGAGTTGCTATTTTGATGCCTTTTTAGTGAGCTGTGTGAGACACGTGGCTACTCCTTGGTAGGATTTATGGTGGGCATATCACAATTGGCTGCTTTATTGGCTGCCTCGGTGGAGAAGTCGGGCACTGAGGAATAGGCATGGAAAGTGAAATAACATTTTACTTGTTGGGTCCAAATTATTCTGGAGTCTTATTCTGGCTTTGCTGTAATTTATCTGTGTGTGAATGGGCTGTGTTTTTCATCGCTGTCGGTATTGATCTCTGATGAGTCTGGTGCATAGGTTTGGAGGAAAATCACTCCAATTAAAAGCAATGGAGTCTGGCACTTATTTGTAGCTCACTGATTATGTAGGAGGTACTTAATTGCATTAAAGTGGACAAGTTTGTGAGGCAGGAGGAAATTCTGCCTATGGGTATATTTGATGGTGTATGCTGACACATTTATTATAGGTACTTTTATGAACTCGTGAATTCATCATACGCCAGCATGGCAGAATCAAATAAAAAAATCAAGGTCATGTGTTTTTAGTGCTTGAGGGAGTTCAAGTATCACCCCGTTGATGATGGGAATTACTCTTGAAACAGCAAAAACGATGGGAACCGCAGAGCTACTTGGTGAGCTCGAAACTTGGCTGAGGAATTGTGAAGAGAAGTAATGTCAGGTTTGCTGACCAGTCATTTAATGTTACTTCCATAAATAAATATGCTTATTGTCAACTAATTTCACTTTCTGCCGTTACACAAATGTGTATGTTGTTCTCCAGAGACTCGAGCGATGTCCTCCGCTTTTCCTATCCATTTTSTAAGATTGATCTTTTGAGGAGGAAGGTTATGAGTTTATACAGATAAATACGTTATTTATTTTAGCTGATTTCTCTTTGAGAACCCAACTGCTTCCTTAGCTCTGAATCTTTGTATAATTTGCAAAATCAAAATTTAGAACCAATATTAAACTATTTTGTTTCAGCAGAATATTTTAGGATGAGTCAACCTGTTGATTATTTTGTTACTTACTGGCTATTAAATGTTGTACAGCTCTAATAATATAGTTTAAATCTTTTTTTTTTTTCTTCAAGTTGCTTGCCAGTTTGTGTTGGCCTTTGCAGTGTAAACATTCTTTTTGATTGTTTTCACCTTTTTTTTTTTTTTTTTTAAA